GTTTGGTGACAGAGAGAAGCTTGTATTCAGAATGTCTATGGTTGTATTTCTCTGTTTAATAAGGAAAATAGGTGTAAGAACATTACCGTTCCTGCCCAAAACCAACTTGATCTTGTGTATTGTGTACCTGGCACTAGCTGTTAGGCCCAGCAGGCTACCTTCAGAGCATCTTAATGTTTGATGGCATTGTCCATTTTAGAGGAGCTGTCTCCACATTTTCAGTAAGGCCCTTTAAATCCTAAAAACAATCTGGATTCTTCAAGTATGCCGTTGGGTAAGTGCAAAAAATATGGCTACTATAAGACCAGGGGCCATATTCAAAACATTCTGAGAATACTAGAGAGCTCCTAACTTCGCCTAAAAACTTAAAGTAAGGAGTCTTAGCTTAGGAGTGATTTAGGAAAGTTCTCAGAGCAACTCTGAGCAAGGAAGGGACAGAAACTTTTATTTTAGTGAGAAGGTGTGGCTGACCCTGTTGCTAGGTATGATGCATTTTTACAGATGTGATTGGCTGTCACAGATACACCCCTTTGTGAGCCTGCAAGGTGTGGACACCCAGTGGAAATGAAATGAACTGCATCACAATATGAGACTGAAAGTGTTGCCATTGTTCGTGTGATCCCTCTGCTGATGGAGGGTTAAGACAGACAAAAGTCATCACTGCTGCAGTGTTGCATTTTTCCAGTTTTTCAAATATCTTAGTGTTGTGATCATTTTATTTCTGGCAATATAGTGTTATTTTGTTGGGTGGGAAATGTGTGCAAATCCCTAATGCGATCATCCACAAACATTCTCCCTGCACAATCTCATCTGCAGCATGTCATTTACTCACTGTCATTCTGTATGTAGGTGTTTCCACCTTTTTCTCCTCTGTGTAAAGAACTCTTAAGCTTATTAAAAGTCCTCCTCTTTACTCCTGTTTTTCACCATGGGATCTATCTTAAAATCTGAGATGCTTTGTGAATAACTGATCTTTTCAAGGACCTAGTCTTAACCTTAAGGGGAAATTCTAAGAAAATGACACAGTTCTAAGTATTTTCTTAGAATTTCGTCACAAGGAGCGACTCTTAGCTCTAGGAAACTTTGTGAATATGGCCCCAGATGAGTCTATAATGATATGATGCATGAGAATGTTTATCACCATACAGACAAAGCCATGCCAAAGAGAAGAGACCCATTTCTTTGAAATGTTAACACAGCAGGCCTTTTGCTGGTAGCCATAGAGACAACATGTTGAAATCCTCCTTATTTGGTTATTGAGTGAATAGCTTAGTAAAACACTTACACTCCAACAGAGTAACCAAACCACAAAATCCCCTCTGATTGCTCAATGCAAAAAGCCTGTGTCTGGCCGCACAAGATTGAGGTGCAGGCCTGCTGAAAATTGAGTTAAGCATCATCTTAACTGTTGACAAACCTCTTAAAATCGACCACAGACACTAAGCTTTCCCTGTCTGCTGCCTGCTGACGTGCACACAGCGGGGTTTAATAGCTGTGAACTAGAGCTGACTGGACAATGAAAAGTAACGCCAAGTAGAAGGATTGATCAGCGGGAGGTCAACTGATTTCAGAATATATCCACTTTGCTCAGCTTAACAGATTACTTTCTCTGTCTCTAATTGATGTTTTCTCTTATTATCATTGTTTTCATTCCCTCCCTTCTTGTCTGTCTCATTCCTTCTCCACACTATTTCTTGTTCTTGGCGCCACTTGACAGGCAGGGTCAGTAACAGGGTGCTGCTGACATAACAAGCCAAGTTTGCTCCAAGAAAGACATATATAGTACCTCACACCTTCTCTAGTAGGGAAAAATGAAAGGACACTGGCTGGGTGCAGTGTGTATGGGGTGGCCTTTGCTCCTTCATATTACTGGGGGCAAGACCAACATGATCTATCTGTCTCTCCTCCCCGCCCCTCTTCTTACTCTTTAATTGAGCTTTGGCACTGGTGTTGTCTCTCTATCTGAACTCCACTCTCTATGACCTCACATTGCTCGTGCTTTCCTGGCTTTGGAAACAGTGGAACCTCAGCCTGATATATGAAACCAAGACTTGCTTCCACCACTTCTCCAGGGGGAAACACTGTTCCACCCCTACAAGATCATTCTGGGCTGAGAGAATGCTGAACATTCGCGGCAGTGCACGAGGGGCGAGCTTTAAATGTGAATTACACAAGCGCTTAAACAGCCTCCTGGAAGTGCCAATGAGAGAGTCGAGTACTCAAATAATTCTATGACTAATGTTTAAAGGAAGACATTTTACTATTTTGGCAGAAACTTTTATTCTGTCCTGCAAATTTCAGAAAAATCTGTTGGTTACAAGAACAAATAATTAGATTAGTCTGAGCTGCGTGCTTGGAAATTTTGCAGTCAACCAGAGGGAAATGGCTCATCTTGAACTTTACAGCACCTCTTAGTCAGCTTCAGGAGAAACATGAAAGATGGACACAGTCATAGTAGAGGCATTTGTGACTCAGGAACACTGTCTGCTTCTTACAACACTGAACCTGCAGTCTTGTCTCTTTCCATTTATCCCAGATCTGTGACTCAGGACGCAAAAATGTCCTGTGAGTCAAGAACAAAGACAACATATGCATAGCAACTGTGCAGTCCTCAAAGGTCTTGTATTGATTAGAAGATTTACTACGACTCAGAGATAATCGTTTTGGGAAGGAGGATGTACAAAAACTCTTTTATGAACCATCTGCCAAAACATTTAGTAGAGTTTCACTGAGCTACCACAAACACGTGGATGACTCAGCCAGCATAATTCCATAACACCAGAAAATGCACAAAATGGCACAAGACCCTCACAATTATCACGAGGAGCACCATAAATGTCACATGTAATTGAGTATTTTTAAGTGGTTTGGTGGAGAGAAATTACCCAGATGACAAACTGGCTAACAAGTGAATGATGACCTCAGTGCCCAAACAAATTATGGCTGTGTTGGGATTAGGAAAGCACTGGGCCTAAATCCAAAATGGACTATAATTTGACAAGATAAGTCTGAACCTGTAAGCAATAATGATCCGTCAAAATTCTTCCCGGAAACAATTACTCCCTTTCAATGTCCTTGATCAAAAATATGGTTGTAGCCATGGTAAAGCAATTAATCAAACCAAAAAGTTACTTCCAACAAGATTGGAATTTAAACAGTCAGAGGTTCAAGCCAAGAAACTATTAGGCCTGTCTGATTAGCAGTCTTTGGAGAGTTTGCTGAATGCACTTAAAGAGGCCTTCGTCTGAGCAATTATTAGTTGGATACATTATAGTCACAGTTATTCCAATAAATCAAAGAACAAAGTGAGAGCCTAAAGAAAATATAATCTCCCAGCTCTATTTTCATAGCAAATAGCATGGGTTAATACTCCTGTCTGGTAAATCATGTTATATTTTCCTACATTTCACAGATTTACCTTAATACCTTTTCAAGCATGGCAGCAAATGGCAGCAAATGCTTACTTGCGTTAGTATTTGTTTAACTTAGAGTGTATTAAAGATTTAACATATGAACCCGTTCATCTGGTTTGATTTATTGCAACGATAAACACAACCAGCGTCTAACGGGAGCGAAATGAACTACTGTTTGTTCAAGAGCGTTTAAATAATTTCTAATAGCGCTGTGTATCCATTTGTTTTCTGTGAGCTTTCCTGTGTGACAGTAATAGCAGTTAAAACAAATATCTCTCAGTGAAAGGCCACAGAATACTACATTCACTACATTAAAAAAAAGACAGGTTTTATTATATATGCTGAAATGAAGGTGCAGCAGTAGATCACTGTGCTGTGGCAGCAGACCAAAATCTCTGGTTGCTCTGTCAGCGGGAGTGACAGTAGATCAGGAGCTATAAACTCTGCTCATGTTAGAAACTCCAGTGTTTGTAACTTTGACAGTTTGTGTTCTCGACTAATAGCAAACCATCTTGATAGTACTGACATTTGAGAAAAGACCCAGTGGAATGGAGAGTCATAAACCCCCTCTTCATCTTGCATTAAAATACGTCTTGTAGCCAGATGAAACAGGAGCTGATGGTACAAATACATCTTTTGAATAAACTGTGTGAACATTTTGTCCAGTCAGTTGCCAAGCTAACAACTGTGCTTACTGACTAGCGTAACAAGCTAGGGCCTGGTCCAGAGGTACATGGGTAATTTTTCAGGTATTTTTTTCGGTCACTGAAAACAAACCTTTTGTCAAACTCCTTTCAGGGTGAAGATTTTCAGAAACTCATTTTTCAGTGTTGAGATATAGACAGGGAAAAGTTTTTTTGGCTTGTGACGTCTCCTTTGTGAAGTGTCACAAATAACATTTCATGCAGAGGTGGATGTGGCCGAAATAATGCTGGTTCTGACATTGTTAACAGCTTATATGCTCACACATAAATGTACAGTTAAGGTTTTTTCAGAAGGTAAGTAACATCCCCCCCTGCATACCTGCTTGGCTTCGTGGGGTCTAACTAAGCAGCCTTGTGAGAAAAGACCGGCAGACAAGTGCTCCGTGAGTAAAAGCTGACTAACTGCGTACATGTGTCTATAATTTTGTTTTTGCAGTTTCATTTTGACAGAGAAAATTAAAAAGTGTTTCTGTGGAAGGGATTTTTTTTTAATACAGAGGAAAAACCCTGTTTTCAAAAATACATATGTGGGTGTAGACTAGGCTGAAGTTAATATGGATTTATTAAATGAGAAAATGTACAATCATGAGGAAAAAATGCCACAGTGAATATAATGGCAGTTGTGTCTGACCACCACTGGTATGTTCTTGGCTTGTTGATGTGATTGCTGTCAGCTTGTCAGCTACAGTTGTTCACCAACTAGCCCTACAAGTGTTACCTAGTATGTCATCACCATTGGTGTGACTGGGCCATAGTTGGAAGACTTCTCGTAAAATGTATGTAAAATGTTTATTTTTCGACCTATCCCTATTTGGCAAAGCTCTGAGGCTCATCCTGGCTATAATAAGAAGAAGAGGTAAGAAAGCACAGCTGCATCACTTACACAGGCTGTCTTGTGGTCGCAGGTCGTGGGGTCTGGACCTTGGCGGTGTCAATGGCCTGCCTCTCTGATGGCCTTCTCCGCGGTTGGTCTCTCTGGAAAGGGTTGGTCCCGGGTTGAACGCGCCTCAGGGCACCTCCATCTCGGATGTACACCTGCTCTGGAGCCACCTCCTCACAGCGGGGCCCCTGGAAGCCTGAGCGACACACGCAGGTCTGTGGCCGGCTGCAGGAGCCACGGTTCTGGCAGGGGGGCTGGCAGTCAGCTGAAGAGAGAGCACAGATGGAGATCAAGTTCTCCGCAGGTCATGTTAGAGCATGTGCCCCTCCTTGTACGAGGGAGCAGTAGCAGAAATGGCTTTCCCTGATCTCAACACCGGGGCTCACTTTAAATTGATTCAATCAAGGGGCCATTAGTTTCACTTCTCAGCCCTCTCTGTCCTTCTCATTCAGCAGAGAGCCTGGAGGGGCTGTCATGTTCAATTTCTCTTGAGTCTTTAACTGCTCTGTTTAGTCTAAATGTATATGATCACTTACATTAAATCCTTATCCAATTTCTTGTTGAGGTAAAGCCTATACTCCAGGTTCAGGGCTCAGTTCCGTGGCCCCCAGCGTTTCTATACAAAGTGATTTCCCAAAAATACCTTTCGTCACTGATCTACAATCTGGCTTTTGCTTTCACTGTAACACAGGAAGCTTAAAAAGGTAATAAAAGTAAGAGGTCATAAAAAAATGGGAAAAACTGGTTACCAAAGGCCAACCGTAAATAGCTAACACTTCATCAAAGAAATGGCCTGTGTCTTTTATTTGAAAAACAAACTAAATCTAAAGGGGCTTACTGTACTAGAAAGATGAATGTGTGCATAATATTTATCAATAGTCTGCAGATACACAGTGCCGAGATCATTTCATGGTCATGGAAAAATAATCTGTGTCACTCTCCCAGCCCACCCCCACATCCTCGCATCCCACTCCAGATACTGAAAGACCCGCGGCACGCAATTCAAAGTAAACAAGCTCTCGATCTTGTGACACAAATGTATGTCGTAGACGGCACTTGAGGATTTATGACATTGTCCTCAAACAGTAAATCAGGCCACCGGTCTGTGGTGGCTAAAGCAAACAGCGGCGCTCTGTCAACAGGGCTGTGGAATGCTATTGACACAGATGCTGTGGACACTGACAGATCGCAGGCAGGAACGCTGCCACAGCTCTTGGCAGCGAGGAGTGCTGGCAGTCGAGAAGGGCCCCACTGGGTGCGAACAGCGCTCTACCTGCTGCACGCTTCCTGTTATTGCCTTGCTGCTCAGACTCTGGGGCCACTTTCCTTTGAGTGAAAGCACACTGGACCCTGAAATCGCTGTTCCTGATGACATGAGCTCAAAACTGAAGTAATAGAAGGAAACATGACAGCGGTGTGTAACAACTGTAGCGTCAGACTTCCATTTCCATAGACACATTCCAACATAATAAGCCAAATCATGCTCTGTATTTAAGTTTTCTCGGATCATGATGCATGCTAATTACAAGACCACTGCATTACGCATCGTCCAGCCTGTGGTACAGTGAGAAAGACTAACAAATTGAGGATTGAATAATAGACAATCACCACTCTCTTCTGCTTTATGGTGAAGCAAATTTTATTTAGACCAACTATTCACTCAAGCGTTTCGTTTTAACTACTCTGAAGAAAACGTAACCCATTTTTTTGATGAAGCATACACATTTAGAGAGATGTGGTTGTGGATTTGTATAACTTGGTATGTGATCTGAATTTTCCATCATGGGATAAAACAGGAATCGCCTGAGCTCTGTTTGGCAAGGAGTTAAATCCATCATCTAACTAAAGTACAGGCTGGCTGGGTGCCACCTCCTTGTCCGGAGTCTGTTTAACCTCAAGTTTGGGGATGAAGCGGCGGATCAAAAAGGCCACAGATTCCAGTGACATTATGCTGCAGAGGGGGGAGCTTGGTAATGTGTGAAACTGCATTCTTCAAATAAACCATCTGAATTGAAACGAGAAACAGTGCGGGGTAGAAAAATAACCCAATAAATGGAGGTTCACGGCTGGCTTACGATGGCATATGTGTTCAATTGCGTGGCGTGTGACCCGTTTTCAGCTGTGAGGCACAGTACTGACACCAGACAAACATGTCGCCCCGTGCTCACGATGAAGTGGACAGGTCAGTGACACTGGGCCTGACATGTGCCCCACATGAAGCCTGTTGCGTGGCCGGGGCATACCCTGCCACTGCCTGTCTGTGTTGTCCCTGGGCCCTGCCTCTGGGCTGTTAAACACATTGTCGCAGTAATTGCTGTCATGCAGATTTGTCTTGCACATCATTAAAACTAATTGCCTCACATTCCATCCATTTCAGAAATATGTGCAGCAATTATTACTTTGCGAGCGTAATAATAAAATGGGAATTCATCGGAAATAAAAGAGGAGAAATGGCAAACATTCCTGGCATTGCCACTTCAGCCTTAATTATGAGTAAGACATACTGGCCAAGTTTTGGGAGATTGTGTCCAAATCCAGTCATCTGAAAAGAGGAGGCTATTAGACTGCAGTTGGCAGCTTTGAACCGTCCAAACAAACATGCTGATCCAGTCCAATCAGTAATAAAACACATTATTAATATGGAAACAGCTCTTTCTTTGGGCTTAGCTAAAATATCCTCAGCGTCACATTTAAGTCAGATTGAGGTCTGTGTATCTTTTCTCCTTCCAGTTCTGTCAAACTTAAGCTACACTGGGAGAGTTTAAGGGGCTCTTAAGAAATGTCTGACTACCATCAATAATCTAAGTATCTATCCTCAGCCCAGTCATCAGAGGAAAATGCTGGCATTGTACATTTCCACAAACTGTGAATACATTAAACTTGTACTTCGAATACCTATTATATCAGTGTATATATCAAATGTTATTGATATGTTATATCAAACAACAACACCTGTTGTTTTAACAAGACATCCCTGTGTTTTCAGCAGCAATTGTGGCACCAAAACCATGTATTTTAAATTAACAGTGTGTAAGGTTTAGGAGTCATCTAGCGGTGTAGATTGCAGTCTACAACCAGCTGAAACTTCATTAATCAAGAGGTTTTTACCTTCTTCCTCTCAAACCAACCAGACCTAGTGACTTAAACAAGTAAAAACAATGAATAAAGTAATTTCATGTTCAAAAATAAGTGTGGGGCTACGGTGGCCGAAACAAGATGTGAAAACACAAATGGCCCTATCTAGAGGCAGTGTTTGGTTTGTCTGTTTGGGGCTGCTGTAGAAACATGGCAGTGCAACATTGTGGAGTGGATGAGGAACCGCTCCCTGTATAGACATAAATTCTAAAGGTCAAAACACAGCAGCAGTGAACGGCACATGTCAAAAAATAATCCCCCATTATCTTCAATGTACAACCCCATACTGACGGCGGCTACACACGTGTCGCCACTCCTGCACGCCACTGTCCTATTTCCAGCACCACCACCCCCAAAATGAAATGCATTTTTCCCCCACTCGCTCTCTGCTTGTACATGCCAGCCTCCCGTAGCAGCTCTTTTTCTCTGCTCCTATGGCAGCTAGACTCCTCTCCTTACTGTGGATGCAAAGACAACTCTGTTGCTGAGTCTCATGTGTGTCAAAGAAAAGATGAGGTGAGGCTCATTGTTGAGGTCAAGAAATACCTCAAGCTAACCAACCCACAGTCCCGACGTGACGTGACGTGACGTGACGTGACGTGACGTGAAGTAGAAGAACCGGTGTGTTTAATAAGTAAAGCTTAAGATAACTAAGACACAACAATTCTTATTTTCGCATGATTATAAATTAAAGAAAACATACTCATTATATCATATTTTATCTTTGCCAATGTATCCCCTTAATTTCAATACACTGGACCTTTAAGCCAAAAAAATGATCTTTTCCTTACCATACACGTTAACCACAGCGTTGTTAAAACGTAAAGTTTTGACATATCCCCTACATAATCACGTACAAATGTTACATATTTGTACTTCGCAAAAATGCACAATGCCAACATTTGGTTTGCCGTCCTTCTACAAACAGCATTCAGTTAGAGGTTAAATGATCACTTCTTTAACAATATAAACTGTAAAACTAAGTTATGTCTTTTGTCAGTTCTTGGTTTGACTTGAGGCGATTGAAGAGTATTTCGGTATGTAGTATGTTAAAGTTACCCTGGGGCCCATATTGAGGTAAGTATTGGTTATAATTTCTCTAGTGGGTTACAGTTACCTGTTATGAGCTTAGGTTCGCATGTGCACGTGTATAACCGGGGAAATTTGCCATTCTCTTCCCCCCTCGTCTGGACTCTCATTTCCAACTTAGAGCTCGTTTCCAGTCCATTACAATCCACCAGAGATTCACCTTCCCCTCTCCCCGACTCACAGTAACACAACCCATCAAATCTTTACAGTCCTTTCATTCAGCAAGGGGCAATTTGAAACCAATATCTGACATAACTCAAACATGTAGAGAAATCTCCTCACTTTTCGCAGGTCAACAGCGCTACCAGAGGTAACTTGACATTTCTGAAAATAATATTGATAATGAAAGCATAATCGCAATAATCTTGGGAAGGACTCTCTACAGGCTGAGCGCATTATGCGCCATTATGAGATTTAGAGTCTGGGAGCTGCTCCGGAGATTAGAATGTAGTAAAACATGACAAAAGGCTTGACTAAAGGCCCTTTCAACGCTGTAACTGAGAGACAGGAAGTTGGGAAATAAGAATGAAAGACAAAATCACTTTAGAAATGATGGTGGCAACAACTTACCTCAAACGTCCTCATATTTTTGGTGAGCTGAATGCATCAGTTTGCACCTTATACACTTAAGTCTGTTGCCCTGACACATTGTGTTTCCCTCCTGTTGTAATGCTATTGGCACTTCAGCCAACACAGCTACCGGTGCTGCTCAGGCCAGTTTGGACTTTTATGAACAAATCATTACAGATTGGAGTGGAAATAATCTTAATAATATCTACAACTTTGTACAAAATTGAACGTAGACAACTGTAAAACTCTTGTGATTGAATATGTAGTCTGGTAAACCTCCTGCGTTGACAGCTGGAGACGCTTTTGGGGAGTCACCACAGAACCTGACAGATCTCATGAAATAGGTCAAGTGTTTAAGATTGTGGGAGGCAGCAGGGAGAGACAAGCTTAAAAATTCACCTTTCATCCAGACTCGCTCTACCCACTGAAGAAGTAAGAATTGGTCTATTGAGCAGTTAATACAATTGCCTC